TCTCAGGAGTACGTGTGCTGAACCTTTGTGGCCAGGAACAAATTATAGAAAAAAGCACACTGGTTGCTACTTGTGAGGAAGTGGATTGATTACGTCGGTGCCAATATCTATCGACTGGGACCCCCAACAAGGATGCACAAACGAGAGTGAGCACACTTTTAGAAGACTGTCACAGCGTTCTCTCCCCGAATGAAATGGTCAAAGCGAAGAAGTTGTTACTCAAGTATGCCGATGTATTCTCATCAAACGATGCTGACATAGGAAATACTGGCTTAGTTCAACACAAAATAAACACAGGTGAAGAATTGCCTATCCGTCAGCGGCCAAGAAGATTGCCGGTAGCACGTGAAAAGGAAGTGGAAACCATGATTGAGGGAATGGTGAAGGATGGTGTTATTGAACCTTCATCTAGTCCATGGTGTTCACCCGTGGTACTGGTAAAGAAGAAGGATGGCAGCATGCGGTTTTGTGTTGCTTACCGCCGTCTGAACGACGTTACTAAGAAGGACAGCTATCCCTTGCCAAGAATTGACGACACACTGGACATGCTTACAGGAGTAAAGTGGTTTAGCACGCTGGACCTAAAAAAGTGGCTACTGGCAAGTTGAAATTGACCATAAGGACAAGGAGAAAACTGCGTTCTCGACGGGAAAGGGTCTATGGCAATTTAAAGTAATGCCGTTTGGGTTGTGCAATTCTCCAGCAACGTTTGAAAGGCTGATGGAACTTGTACTTACCGGGCTAATTGGCGATGCCTCTCTTGTCTACTTGGATCACATCATCATCGTGGGCCGTACGTTTGAAGAACACCTTAAAAACCTGGAACGCGTGCTCATGAAGGTTCAGAGTGCCAACCTCAAGTTGAATCCGAAGAAATGTTCACTATTCAAACGGCAAGTCAACTTTTTGGGGTATGTAGTGTCGGAGAAGGTATCCGCACGTACTCAGAGAAGATCGCAGCTGTAAAGGATTGGCCGGTTCCAAAAGACAAGACGCAGGTTAGAGCATTTTTGGGTTTGTGCTCCTATTACCGGCGATTTGTGAAGAACTTTGCAGATATAGCCAAACCTCTGCATAAGCTAACCGAGGAGAAGCGACATTTCTTTTGGGATGAAAGTTGCAATATCGCATTCCAGGAGCTCAAGAACCGTCTGTGCAAAACACCTATTTTGGGATACCCTGATGCAAGCAAAGAATTTATAGTTGACACAGACGCAAGTGATATAGGAATTGGTGGTGTGTTGTCTCAACGGAATGGTGACCAAGAGGTCGTGATAGCGTACTTCAGCAAGTTGTTGTCAAAACCGGAAAGGAACTATTGTGTCAAAAGACGCGAATTGCTAGCTGTGGTAAAGTCGTTGCAGCATTTTAGCAAATATCTTCTGGGACGAAAATTTCGCTTAAGAACTGACCATGCTGCACTAAAATGGCTATTGCAGTTTAAAAATCCAGAAGGACAAGTTGCGAGGTGGATTGAACTACTGCAAGAATATGACTTTGAGATCGAATATCGCAGTGGGAAATCTCATGGCAACGCAGATGCATTGTCACGAAGACCTTGTCCTGAAGATTGCAAACATTGTACTATGCAGGAGAGTAAGGAAGTGGTATCCGTGAGGATGCTCAGGGCAGATCACCTCAGCAACGAGTGGAAGGACAGCTTACAGCGTGCACAGCAGGAAGATCCGGACATCAAGCCGATCCTGGAATGGATGAAGGCCAGTGCTCCCAAGCCCGAGTGGAGCGACGTCTCAGCGATGAGTTCGACCACTAAAAGCTATTGGGCCCAGTAGGACAGCTTGCTGCTTCAGGATGGAGTTCTGTGCCGTAAATGGGAAAATGTTAGGGGAGACAGCTGTCATTTACAAATGGTTGTCCCTAAAGCTAAAGTACCGGATGTTCTACAGCTGTACCATAATGATTATTCAGGAGGCCATCTGGGAGTTAAACGAACTCTACTGAAGATCCGAGAACGGTTTTACTGGGTCTGTGGTTGTGGGATGTCGAGGACTGGTGTCCCAAATGTACAAGTTGTGCGGCTGTAAAGGGACCTCAGACTCGTAGTAGAGGTGCATTGAAGTTGTACAATGTTGGTGCACCATGGGAGAGAATAGCCATTGACGTGGCGGGGCCGTTTCCGGAGAGTGAAAGCGGTAACAAGTATTTCATGGTTGTGATGGATTACTTCACTAAGTGGCCAGAAGTCTTCGCAATTCCAAATCAAGAAGCTTCAACTGTTGCAGATAAACTAGTTCATGAAGTCTTCTGTCGTTTTGGAGTACCTTTAGAGATTCACAGCGATCAAGGAAGGAATTTTGAATCTCAAATATTCCAGGAAACTTGCCGAGTTATGGGTACTCATAAAACAAGAACGACTTCTTATCACCCGCAATCTGATGGAATGGTAGAACGATTTAATCAGACATTGGAGAGGTACCTAGCAAAAGTTGTAGACAATCGGCAACGAGATTGGGACAAGCACATACAACCGTTTTTGTTGTCATATCGAAGCGCTGTTCACGAAAGTACAGCAGTGACACCAGCTTTCGCAAACTTTGGAAGAGAATTACGGCTGCTTGCAGACCTGATCACCGGGATACCACCTGATGCTCCACGCAGTATAACCGATTATGCAAATGACTTGCGGAACAAAATGAATGACATTTATGAGCACGTCAGACAATCGGGCCAGCAAATATTTGAAAAAATGAAAACCCGGTACGACCGCAAAATGAACAACAAAGGGTTCGACGAAGGTTCACTAGTGTGGTTGCATAATCCTGTCCGCAGCAAAGTGAAATCTCCTAAGCTTCAAGCTAAATGGGACGGCCCGTACCGGATTGTGACCAGGATCAACGATGTAACCTACCGGATACAGAAAGGCGCAAGAGGGACTCCTAAGATCGTCCATGTGGATCGCCTGGCGCGTTATTATGGGGCCGATAATGCTCGGGACGAGCATGTCTTAGGAGGAGGCAGTGTTGCGCGGCTAAGTTGACATCTCATCTCATGGCACCAGCGCCATCTAGTGTCGGGTAATAGAGCGAGGAGAGAGCTTTCCAGAAAATGACATGACTAATTTTTTTACCCGACAGCGCCATCTAGTATCAAATTGAAGAACTAAACTTTCTAGAAGCTCTACACTCGATCTTTCTGCGCTTGGTCGGTTGTCGCGCGTATTTACTCGAATATTCTAAAGGGGAAGTATTGAATTCGGCGAGACAAGCGAAGCTTCGGAGCGAAATAAAGTGAATTAGTGTGATTAATTATTAGTGTTTTAAGTTTTAATTTGTGTAAAGATAATTAAAGTGTTAATTAAGGTAATTTTATCGGCAATTTTTATTGTCACGAACCTCAAGCTCGTAACAATAATTTGATCACTAACTACCTACCCGCGGTCTACCATACCAATAAAAAAAGGTTTTCATTCTCCAAAAGTAAGCGCCGGCAAGTTCATCCTCGGCGAACGCAGGTGTGGATCTATGGGTAGTGGGGAGAAGGTGTATGACCCGAAGTAAATGCACATACACTTAGATATTCAGAAAAGTAATATCACTGGTGTCTGTGAGACTACGGGTAGGTAGTTAAGGATTAAGGTTAAAATAACATTTACATCGATTATAGACAGTTGTAAGCCTGAAAAGTATGAAAGAGTTGGTTTTTCTTTACTGCCTTATTGTATTTTAGTCTAAAATGCGACTTAGTAGGAAGTAATGTTCTTATATAGCATGCGGTCTCTCCAACGAACGATATGTAATGTAACATGCTACGAGATTTATCCTTCTGCAAAACTTAATACGTGCTTGCCGGCCTCCCATACGCTTTCTTATAACTAGCGCGCGATAACATAGCGTATTTAATAGTGCGCTAGAAATTTATAATTTTAGTCTATAGCGTGCTATTGTTTTATAGCCGTTTTGAACAATTCTACCATAGACATAAAGAGCTATGTTTAAGGTCATCCCCATTCTCTATTATCCCCTGATCCCCATTTTCGACACTGTTTTCGAATGAAAATATTTACTTTATCATGTCATTACCTACAATTTTTCTCTTCAACAAGAAAAAAATATTATTTTAATGTTTTTTCAGTTGAGTTAATTGCACAATAACCGTTAAATTTCCATCAAAACTCAGGTTTTTAAACAATCATATTGTTACTGCTGATGTCAATATTTATATAACTTATTAAAAACGTTAATTTTGTTATTTCAGCTAGTATGTGATCACAATTCACAAGTTGAAATTTATTCCTGCATACCTACTGTGATGAAGCAGGCTTAGTTCACGATGCTCGTGATTTTTGGCTGTTACATTTAAAAATTTATTGTATATCTGAATTTTTGCACAATATTTGTATTTTCAGAGATGGTTTGATTAAAAGCCCGATTCTTGTTAATCATGAGATTCCAGCATTTGATATAGATGTTGATGGAAACCATTTGTATATTTTAAGCATTTGATACAAAAGTACAACTTAGTTGTCAATTATTCAATAGAATGGATGTATATACATTTGTGAAAAATGAAATAGATGTGTTGAAATAGATTTTATCGTAAAACAATTTTGTTAATTTCTTGTGTATTTTTATTTTTCAGTGAAATATATACAATTTATAATTAATTTCTTTGTAGCTTTATTAAAGTGCATTTATTTTTTACTTTCTAATATATTGCCTTCTAATACATGTATATTATAAAATACGTAAGATTATATTTAAAATTGTTATCATCAAATACAAAAATATTACTTTTTCTAATTTGTACTTTTTTTGATAAAATTAAAAAAAACATATTTTCATAGAAACAACCATAGCATTACAAAGGTACTTTAAAATATTAATTATTAACATTTTCTCATAGGGTGATTTCTTAAACATTTGGACTATAAATTCAAGGCAAGCTAAATACAATCTATGGTAACTTTAATAGTCTTATTAAAATGATAACATTAAAAATAAAATTATTGGAAATATAAGCAAACAAAAACCAATTAATCTTTAGGTATTTGTGTTACAAGCTGTATAGCAACATCTGTTAATCGATTCATAGCAGTATTTTTTCCTGATCGGAGTCGGAAAACCCGAAGAAAATTCATATTCTTTAGTATTTTCTTCAGCTTCGAAACTCTCCAGAGGATCTTCGAATATTGCTCTCCCCTCATAAACACGTCGCTCAAAAAGTTCAGTTGTAAAAACTATGTCTGCAAAACAAAAACAAAACATTTTAGGAAATTTCATCTCATTCACAATATTTGTATCGAATTCCAATAAACTTTACTTTTTCAATTTTTTTCATTTTCGTCTTTACAGCCACGAGTTTTGATCATCAATACTAATTAATAACAATACCAATCATTCGTGGAAGCTGTTATATCTGTAGGCGCTGTTACGTTTTTTATTTTGCTTTTTAATCACGTGATCAAAGTACCGGAAGCACCTTACCTCGCAAGAACCAGTGCTCACAGTACAAAAATGGCGGCGATTTATGACGTCATAAATTTCCCTAGGGTACTGCGGCAGTATAATGGCGGCCTATATCTATATAATATGTTTGTAATCACTTCAAATTTAATTGATTTGCGTATGTGATTATTATAATAAAATGCGATAGTTTTTCCTATCCATTAAAGTAACAATTTTTTGTACCTGCTCTAACTACACAGCATTTAGACAGTTAAACATTTCAATCGTACCTACGGGTTAAATGTTTAATAATGAGCGATTTATTAATAAGCTACATCTACTCGTATCAAATACTAATGTTCATTTTAAAATCTGAGATTTTGCAAATATAAGCGTGATTTGTTTTGTTTACGAATGACGCCAGGCCCATACATGCCAATAACCTGTCTGTGAATGGTCTAGCCTGTCTTTCTCGCTCAAACATATGCGTACACTATGCTCTTTCTCTTTTGTACCGCCAATCTATTCAAACGTCAGATAGGTGCCCGTTTTTTTTTTTTTTTTTTTTTTTAGGCCCTCGTGTCCTGGCTTTTTCCTTCCTTTTTTTTTGACCATTGATAAATCTATTATTTAGACAATCTTTTACTACAAACGTCTACGTGTGGCTATGTTTTGACATTACATCTCGAACTGGTCCCATCAGGATTTGCTAGTCTGCATATTTTGAGTGTGACAATTTTTGACATATTCATTTACTTTGCCATCAGTCAAAACATTTTCAAAGTTTCTTTATCATATAAATTAAAAAAACTAGTTATTGACTACTATATACCAAGCACGTCGTGATGCAGTTCTGCATGGTAAATTGCATTAGATTAGAAATACTACTAAAATACTTCTGGTAGGAATCTTTTGCTTTCTATTAGACCTTCTGGATAGACTCCATTTTACCTATTTCTGCAGCTAAATACTCGTAGCTGCCTGCACTACCTGCATGCTGGCTACACTAATGTGTTGCGGCGTGAAGGATAAAAAGTATAATTACAGGCTGTAAGCCATTCCACCTTAGTCTTCAGTGGTAACAACACTTCTGTCGCCTTATTTGTTCCAAATTGGTAATCCAGGTGTCAATAGACTTTGATGTGGATTGCAAGTGCGTTTTCTTAGTCATAATAAAAAATTCTATTATCATAACCTGTCAAATGTTTACATGTGAATTATTATTATTATTGCAAAATGACATCTAGGTGCATTGAACACAATGCGAAGACGTAGCGTTAAATCCAATATTATCATTATCGAATCAGTCTCAAAGTAACTAGCCTTTCGGTGTTTTATAAGATGAACTTCGGGGAGTGTGTACAGAAATTGCATAACTTAATTCCTTCCTCTCCCATCCACTATCGCACAAAGACATTCGGCCAATCTTGACATAATACCACGCAATTGAACTAAAGGCTTGCTTTCGTCCTTCGATATGCGTACATACAGCAAAGGAGTCCAATAATTTACAAGCGCCTGTCTGTTCATCCGATTATTATATGTTTTCAAGGCGGGGATTTTCAAGGCTTTTGATACGCTAAGTCAATAAACTTTACCATCTTCGACTGCATCACTAATTGTCCTCAGATGGGCATCATCAATTAATTTAAGGTTAAATAAGGTTAAAACTGTCCTTTTAGGGTACATTTTACTTGCATTCATGTTATAACACATTGTACAAGTTATCTTAAAGTTACGTATGAATCACACCGTGTGATTAAAGTACAATATAATTGCAAACGTTCCCATATACGTACTGTTACGAGCTTGAGGTTCGTGACAATAAAAATTGCCGACAGAATTACCTAAATTAACACTTTAATTTACTTTACACAAATTAAAACTTAAAACACTAATAATTAAAAACACTAATTCACTTTATTCCGATCCGAAGCTTCGCTTGTCTCGCCAAATCAACACTGCCTCGATCGCATCTTGCAGCGCCTATTTATATAAATTAGCAAATAAATATCCAGAATGTTCAATAAAACACGCGCAAGGTACCGAGCGTTCGAGTTTCGACTAGGCGCTGTCGGTTGAAAGATTTGTGATGTCATTTTCTGAAAAGCTCCCCTCGCTCTCGTTCCTGACACTAGATGGCGCTAGTGTATGACGTTGACTTATTTACGCAACACTGCCCCCTCCTAAGACATGCTCGTCCCGAGCATTATCGGTCGCATAATAACGCGCCAAGCGATCCACATGGACGATCTTAGGAGTCCCTCTTGCGCCTTTCTCTATCCGGTAGGTCACATCGTTAATCCTGGTTACAATCCGGTACGTGCCGTCCCATTTAGCTTGAAGCTTAGGAGATTTCCCTTTGCTGCGGACGGGATTATGCAACCACACTAGTGAACCTTCGTCGAACCCTTTGTTGTTCATTTTGCGGTCGTACCGGGTTTTCATTTTTTCAAATATTTGCTGGCCCGATTGTCTGACGTGCTCATAAATGTCATTCATTTTGTTCCGCAAGTCATTTGCATAATCGGTTATACTACGTGGAGCATCAGGTGGTATCCCGGTGATCAGGTCTGCAAGCAGCCGTAATTCTCTTCCAATGTTTGCGAAAGCTGGTGTCACTGCTGTACTTTCGTGAACAGCGCTTCGATATGACAACAAAAACGGTTGTATGTGCTTGTCCCAATCTCGTTGCCGATTGTCTACAACTTTTGCTAGGTACCTCTCCAATGTCTGATTAAATCGTTCTACCATTCCATCAGATTGCGGGTGATAAGAAGTCGTTCTTGTTTTATGAGTACCCATAACTCGGCAAGTTTCCTGGAATATTTGAGATTCAAAATTCCTTCCTTGATCGCTGTGAATTTCTAAAGGTACTCCAAAACGACAGAAGACTTCAAGAACTAGTTCATCTGCAACAGTTGAAGCTTCTTGATTTGGAATGGCCAAGACTTCTGGCCACTTAGTGAAGTAATCCATCACAACCATGAAATACTTGTTACCGCTTTTACTCTCCGGAAACGGCCCCGCCACGTCAATGGCTATTCTCTCCCATGGTGCACCAACATTGTACAACTTCAATGCACCTCTACTACGAGTCTGAGGTCCCTTTACAGCCGCACAACTTGTACATTTGCGACACCAGTCCTTGACATCGTTTCGACAGTGGACCCAATAAAACCGTTCTCGGATCTTCAGTAGAGTTCGTTTAACTCCTAGATGGCCTCCGGAACAATCATTATGGTACAGCTGTAGAACATCCGGTACTTTAGCTTTAGGGACAACCATTTGCAAATGACAGCTGTCTCCCCTAACATTTTCCCATTTACGGCAAAGAACTACATCCTGAAGCAGCAAGCTGTCCCACTGGGCCCAATAGCTTTTAGTGGTCGAACTCATCACTGAGACGTCGCTCCCCTTGGGCTTGGGAGCACTGGCCTTAATCCATTCCAGGATCGGCTTGATGTCCGGATCTTCCTGCTGTGCACGTTGAAAGCTGTCCTTCCACTCGTTGCTGAGGTGGTCTGCCATGAGCATCCTCACGGATACCACTTCCTTACTCTCTTGCCTAGTACAATGTTTGCAATCTTCAGGACAAGGTCTTCTTGACAATGCATCTGCGTTGCCATGAGATTTCCCGCTGCGATGTTCGATCTCAAAGTCGTATTCCTGCAGTAGTTCAATCCATCTCGCAACTTGTCCTTCTGGATTTTTAAACTGCAATAGTCATTTTAGTGCAGCGTGGTCAGTTCGTAAGTGAAATTTCCGTCCCAGAAGATATTTGCTAAAATGCTGCAACGACTTTACCACAGCGAGCAATTCGCGTCTTTTGACACAATAGTTCCTTTCCGGTTTTGACAATGACTTGCTGAAGTACGCTATCACGACCTCTTGGTCACCATTCCGTTGGGACAACACACCGCCAAGTCCTATATCACTTGCGTCTGTGTCAACTATAAATTCTTTGCTTGCATCAGGGTATCCCAAAATAGGTGTTTTGCACAGACGGTCCTTGAGCTCCTGGAATGCGATATTGCAAATTTCATCCCAGCAGAAATATTGCTTCTCCTCGGTTAGCTTGTGCAGAGGTTTGGCTATATCTGCAAAGTTCTTCACAAATCGCCGATAATAGGAGCACAAACCCAAAAATGCTCTAACCTGCGTCTTGTCTTTTGGAACTGGCCAATCCTTGGCAGCGGCGATTTTCTCTGGATCTGTGCGGATACCTTCTTCCGATACTACAAACCCCAAAAAGTTAACTTGCCGTTGGAATAGTGAACATTTCTTCGGGCTCAACTTGAGGTTGGCACTCTGAATCTTCATGAGCACGCGTTCCAGGTTTTGAAGGTGTTCCTCAAACGTACGGCCTACGATGATGATGTCATCCACGTAGATCAGACAGGCATCGCCAATTAGCCCGGTAAGTACAAGTTACATCAGCCTTTCAAACGTTGCTGGAGCATTGCACAACCCAAACGGCATTACTTTAAATTGCCACAGACCCTTTCCCGTCGAGAACGCAGTTTTCTCCTTGTCCTTAGGGTTTCAACTTGCCAATAGCCACTTTTTTAGATCCAGCGTGCTAAACCACTTTACTCCTGTAAGCATGTCATCAATTCTTGGCAAGGGATAGCTGTCCTTCTTCGTAACGTCGTTCAGACGGCGGTAGTCAACACAAAACCGCATGCTGCCATCCTTCTTCTTCACCAGCACCACTGGTGAATACCATGGACTAGAGGAAGGTTCAATAACACCATCCTTCACCATTCCTTCAATCATGGTTTCCACTTCCTTTTCA